AATATGCAGGCGGCTATATATTCGTTTGTATTACAAAACCTAGGCTGTGGTAAATTAAATTCGTAAATACAATTAAATCGCGCTGTATGTGACCTCGTGACATTGTTCACAATAACATGTACATTAAGACAGATTTAAAAATATTTTTACGAATGTATATCTTACACGTAAGATAGAAACCTACTATTACTTTATGAGAAAGTTGGTTATAAATCTCATAACAATGTGCATTGTTGTTGTTTTTTTCAATCAGCATGATGGGGGTACAGTTCTGTAGTAACACGAAGGGTTCTGCTAATATTCAGAATAACTACAGAAGTTGTCCTATCAATCGCGATATATAATTTGTTCACTTTTTGTCACCAGCCAAAATATCAAAGAATATTTACCGTAGGCATAGGTGGATCCAGACAATTTTTAAGAAAGGGGATGCCAACCGGGGAGGGTGGCTCCCCCTAAATTGGCTCATAATAGGAGTGAATGATAAATAAATCTATATATTGGCAAAATTGCCACCATTTACAAAAATACTTACCATCATATTCTAGAAATATATTTATCAACACCATTTTATTGTTCCGGAGTATAATTTATTGCTAAGTGATAAGTTCTGGGTATTTTTATTTATGAGTTGGCTTCTCCCTTAATGCACATAATACTGGGCGTGTGTAGACAATTTCATGTTGAAACATGGACAATGTATTGAATATAGTTGTCATATAATCATAAATAATATTAAATTTGTTTGAAATTGGCATTTTCAGAGACCCTTATTTGTTATTATAGTTAATTTAGCTGTGATTTCACTAATTAATTAAATTTTCTGTTAATTCATCGATTGAGTCAAATTCAGTCGTTTCCAGTGTTTTACATACTACTAATGTGTTACAAAATCGGCCACATGAGGGCGCGCAAATATTGAACTTTGACACGACCTTTTCCTGTGGCATATATTTCGTGCACGTTGACACATACACACGTCTCCGCAGATTCCGGGCTTTACCAGATTTGCCTACACAGTGTTCTCTTCGTGTTTCAGTTTGCAATGCGATGACCACACTGGTGGCACAAGCTGTATCTAGCCAAATGGCCGGTAAGTAGTGATCAGGGCTAAAAAATAAATTGATCAGTACTATTCATTTATTTATTATTAATAATGTTTTTCTGATTATTCATCGTTGCTTGTCTCAATAAATAAATAATCGGGAACGAATTAAATAACACTGATCGATTTACTTGGATTTTCAGCATATCTACTGTCTAATTTTTGATGAAATACTTTACCTAACTTTAGCGAGGCACATAAGACCTTACTGAAATAGAAGTGCTATAATCACAGAATGTCGTTATAAATATGCACGTCTGTTGCTATATTATTACAGTAGTTTTTTCTTCTTCTTATCTGTTTGCTTGAATCAAACACCATGAAATATTAATCACATTACGTAATGTTTAGTGACGTCATTGGTGAACTAAACTATACCATTGACACAACAAACCCATTCCCGTCATTTTCATAAATAATAAACTTAGCAAATTTAACAAGGGTTTTCACTTATCTTCCCCATGGCTCTCATAAATATTCATAAATTTCCTATTTCAAACTAAAACGAGAGATTTCTATTCGCCGATTGAATAACTGCACTCATTGGTTGACTGGATTGATTCAACATGCTATTGAAATTTATAAATATTTATACAAATGAAAGAAATGGCTTTGTTGTGTCAATAGTACAAAAAATGTAAATATATAATGGTCGTGTTCAATTTCTGTAATCTATAATCAAAGTAATCTATGTACACATAACATCAACTCGAGTTGTTCCGTGCACTTGAACTCTACTGATGGAAATTTACTGAGCTATTAAAACTATTTATTAATCAACAGGACACGAAAGATTACCAGACACTGTGTCTTTATTCCAACCATATGAAGGTAAGAATTAAAGCATGTTTCATGATAAATACTAATGTGTTTGTTGTCTGTACAAACTCGATATTAAAACCCAAGTACTCAGCCAATTAGAATGCTCTATTGCAGAACATTATATACGATAAATGTCCTGTTTTCAAGTCTGGCTGGTTTTCTAAGGTGAATTCTCTTTGTTCTCAATTGTCCTAGCACTGTTATGTAAATCATGTGACATATTTGATGACCGAGTTTTACTAAGAAGAAACCCCAATAGCTGGATTCATACTAAGAACTTACATAACAGCACATCGCAGGGATTTTTTTAAACAAAGGAACAGGGCCGCAGTGCCTTCATGCCATGGCCATGCGCCTCTTTACCCTAGGGAGCAGATCCTCTGGCAACCATAAAATTCTGATTGACCAGGGATCACATGTGGTCACAGTCTTCAACTTTGACCTGTCTGATAGTACATTGCGTAGTAAATGTTCTAGGACAGTACCATATAGCATAATCCATATGAAAATAGGGGCATGCAAGATCCCCTTTTCTCATTACCAATTTCATGCAGAATTGCTGACACTAAATGCTTTCAAAAATACAAAAATTTTCCCCAAATATATACCTTACTTAAACTGTGTAATTTTCATTGCTATTTCCACGATTTCAGGATTTTGTGGCATTCCCCAAGACAAAATTTAGTGAAAGTCACAGACACTCCGTGTCCAAGGACCCCCAAAGAAATTGTCACTGCTACATAATTTTGCAATTTTCACTGAAAATTTGTGAAACTATCTCTCTTGCAACTTACAGTTTTTTTAGCTCCGCTGTCGACTTTGTCGAGCGGAGCTTATCATATGAGTGATTGTCCATCGTCGTCCGTGTCAATGTTTTACTTTTTCAAATTATTCTTGAAAACTACAAGCCTGAATGCTTTGATACTTGGTGTATATGTACCTTGGGTAGACCTCTCTCAGAGTTGTTCATTTCATGATGATATCTTCAATTCTATAATTTTGGTGAATATTTTTGTCATTTTTGGTAAGAAGTGATATTTTCGACTTCTTGTTAAAACCGTAAGTCCAATTGCTTTGATATTACATATATAGGTACTAAATCTGGACCTCTCTCAGATTTATTCATTTTGTAATGATATCTTTAATTCTCTAATTTTGGTGAATATTTTTGTCATTTTTGGTAATAAGTGATATTTTCAACTTCTTGTTGAAAACCGCAAGTCCGATTGTTTTTATATTACATATATAGGTACTACATGTGGACCTCTTTCAGATTTGTTAATTCCGTGGTGATATCTTCAATTATCTAATTTTCATGATTATTTTTGTCATTTTTGGTGAAAAGTGATATTTTTGAATTCTTGATGAAAACAGCAAGTCCCATTGCTTTGATACTATACATATTGTTCATTTTCTAATGATATCTTCTGTTCTTTTATTGAAATGTGCATTGCTAACAGCGGAGCTATCTCAGCCGACTGGCTGCTTGTTATTCATGCCCTATCGTCCCTCCTGGGACATAGGCCACTAACAAGATTTCTCCAACCAGGCCGGTTCTGTGCAAGACGCTCCACTTCCCTCCAGGTATAGCCCAACCTCCGGACATCAGCCTCTAGGTCCCGTCGCCAGGTATTTCTTGGACGACCTCGTTTCCTTTTGCCCTGTGGGTTCCAGCTGAGTGCCGACCTTGTGATGTTTTGGGTTGGTTTTCGAAAGGTGTGTCCTAGCCATCGCCAGCGTCTCTGTAGTATTTCCTGTTCTATTTGCTGCTGACTTGTTCTTTCCCATAACTCCTGGTTTGTGATCACATCTGGATACCATATTCTTAATATTGTTCGTAAGCAAGAGTTTATAAATGTCTGGATTCTTCTGGTGATGAATTTGGTGGTTCTCCATGTTTCCGCCCCATACAGAAGTACTGGCATGGTTTAATGATTGTGTTGTTGGGCCTTGAAAGCACATATCTATTAGTGCAACTTGCAGACACTCCATGTCCAAGGACCCTAAAAGAAATTTCACTGCTACATAATTTTGCAATTTTCACTGAAAATGTGTGAAAATTTCTCTCTTGTAACTTACAGTGGTTTCAAGTACCGTAAAATCTGTATTAGAAGCCGCATCCCTAATAGAAGTCGCACCCATTCTTTTTAAACAATTGGGAACCAAAAAATCATCATTTCTCATATGTGTAGATGCTCTAATAGAAGCCGCACCCCCTCTATTGGATTGTACCATTTTAATAGAAGCCGCGGTTTCTAATACAGATTTTACAGTATCTGTAGTTGGTTTGAGGTTTGGGCCTTGAAAGCACATATCTATTAGAAGCATTAAATATGACCTCTAGTCATTTACATATTAAAGTACATTTGCTACTAATAAAGCAATTATGAAATTCATGATAGATAGATAGATTTTTCAACAGTAATCAGTGGTTTTGATCAGTGATCAGTGGTTTTGATCAGTGATCATCGTTTTGTTTTGTATTCTAATAACTTGCTGATTTTCCAGTATAATGTAAATTATTGATTTGTGTACAATAATAATGATAATAAATAAT